GTCGGTGGTTTCGAATACAGATGTTGTTGCGCTGATAAATTCAGATTTTCATCACTCCATGGAACTTTTAATTTATGAAGGAGGGGTACAAGGAATCCGAATGGATCGAATATGGAGGCGAGTGTACTGGTTACTACTCTCTTAGTAATTTTTTGATGAGTTTTCGTATCGCATGATAGCTGTATGTGATCTAAGTGGATGTCCCAGGGGATTCCGAGTACTTTGAGTAGTTTCTCGTTTGATTTATCGGGTGCTGCTATTTGGGACATCAAGGTTGCATCATTTGAATTAAACTCGCGAAGATTCATGCTTAAGTCATTGAATATTTGCTTCAAACGTAAATAATTGCGAAATGATTCTTCGAGATTGTCAGCAGTTAAGATGACGTTATCAATGTATAAGTTATTCTTTATTTCTTCTACTAATCGGGAGTCTTGTTCGTACGTGCCAAGATGGTAATGAATTGTTGCCGCTAATAGAAACGGTGATGCAATCAATACAAAGGTTACTCTTGTAAAGCGAAGAATCTTAACGTTACTTGGGATGGGCGGTAATCCATGATTTTGGAGCCATAAACAACGTGTAGAATCACGGTCATCTTCATGGAGACGCATCTGCAAAAATGCTTTCTCAACATCCGCAGTGAGGGCTATTTTTCCAAATCTGAAACGAAGAAGGAGTCCGAATAGCTCTGAGAGAATGACGGGTCCACGATGCAATGGGTCGTTTAATGATGGTTGACCCTTGTAATGGGCGGATGCATCGTAGACTATTCTGAGTTTGGTTGTTGCCTTGTTAGGTGTCAGAACAGCTTGATGTGACATGTAATGGACACGAGAATTGGGTGGAGTGTCATAATCATAGACTTCTTCCAAAATTTTTGATCTGATTTGTTCATTAAATATATCATTGTATCTCTCTAGATGGTTTTCGTTGTTTTTCGAGGATTTCCAAACGCTTGCTAGTCTGTTGAATGCAATAAAATTGTTATCTGGTAATGAGGTACATGATTCTTTCCAAGGGAGTCGAACATAATATCCATCGATTCTTTTCTGGATAGTTGTATTGAAGTCATTCCAAATTTCTTGTTCGATTTGTTTCTTTTCTTCATTTTCAGAATTTCCAAATTCTTGTGTTCCGGCATATTCCAAACTGCAAAATCTTTCCCATTTGATTTTTTCTTGGTCATCATGTATGAAGGCCGTATTAATTTGAGCTTGTAGAGTCCAACTTTGCTCCCACATTGCAATGTCGTCATACTTGTCATTATTGTCCGACATTTGTTGTTTTATTTCTGACTGCTGTAGTCCTAGCAGTAGGTTGTGGTCTTTATGGTATGATTGTGACGTCTCCTGGGGTTTACCGGTCGGTAAGTATCCAAGAGTTGTTGGGAGTAAATAAAGACCTGATGGTAATTGGATGAGAGGGTTATCTGTTTTCATCAAAGTCCAGAGTTGATCACATCCGAGAAGGATGGAGGGCTGAATGGGTTGTTGATCTTGATTGATTTCAATTTGGATGTCATTTTCGCGTATGAACTTTAGATCTTCAAGAGTCATATTCGGCATTTGAATTGGTCTTGAAATATTGTTGTGGGTGCATAAAGTGAGGGAAATTTTTTTACCATCCTTGTCCCACGCATCTATAGAGATCATTTTTGACCAATGTTCTTGTACCGTCTGGGCGCCGAATGTGTTAAGACGTAACTTAACTTGTCCCTTTACTTGGATCTAATTGTTGAGCAAGTTTTTGGTCGATGAAAGAGAGTTCAACGCCCGAATCGAATAAGACATGTATCTTTTGTAGGCGCTTGGATTGTGGATTTAGTACGGTGAGCTGTCCTGTGGGCAGGGATGCTGGGCGTCCTATAGTCTGTGCTGGTGTTATGTCCTCAGTTGAAGTTCGATAACCGATTACTTTTACGTTGGTCGCGTTAGTGGGGCCTTTTTGTTGATGTCCGCTATCCCTTTTGGGCTTTATACTAGTTGTAGGGTTTTGATTAGGGGCGGCGGAAAGGCAGCATGACGTGTGATGGGGTTTCTGGCAATTGCGGCAGAATGTCCCTCTGCACTGCGCTGTGGTATGTGTTGCAGATGCGCATATGTGACATCGCTTGCTATCTCTAAGGTGCTGATATCTGTCCTGCGGCGTTTTGTAACGGTCGCATTGGAGAGGGTAATGGTTGCCTCTACAATACATGCAACTGTACCTGGGAAACTGTGGTCTCCCTTGTTGGTTGGTGTTTTGTCTACAAGTTGTATAAGTTGAAGGGCGTGAATCAGGTTTACTGGCGGTTATATACCGCGTTATGTATTCCTCATTGGAGATTGTCTCCTCTAAGGATTGCAGAAGCGACTGCATGGTGAACGATGAACCAGCTGTTGTTCTACTAGCCAATACTTTCCTTTGCGTTTCGGGTGGAAATTTGGTCAAAACTTTAGTATACATATATTGACTGTTGGTATGCTCACCCTTTTGAGCTAACTGGAATAGTATGGCCTGCACGTTTTCGAATAGTACCCTTTGGTCATTTATAGCGTTTGAGCGAAGCGAAGATCTGTTAACTTTTGAAGCAGTTGAGCGATGAGCGCTTTTGGGTTTGCGTATTTGGAGGTGAGAGCATGGATGGCCTTTTGATAGTTATCACTGGCTGATTTGGAACTTTTTAATGGCCTGCAGGGGCTCCCCCTTCAAAGAGTTAATCAAATAGTTAAACTTTTGAAGGTCTGATATATCTTGTGAATGTACGTTTGCATTGTAGAGTTCCCAAAAATTGTCCCATTCCCAGATGTCGCCATTGAACGTGGGAATAGGTATCGTGGGAAGCTCCATTTTTCGAACAATGGTTGTTTCTGTAGTTTCCTCTTTTTTAGTCGGCAGTTGGGAAGTCTGTGAATGCTCCGGTAGCTGCCGTTGTGAATCAATTTGCGTTAGCAAAATGGTCGTGTACTCAAAGGAGTCGTCTAAGAGTTGTTGAGAATAGGTCAAGGTGTCCCTATAATTCTGTTCAACATTATCTGGGTCAGGATGTATTTCTCCTAGTTTGTCAAGAAAAATATCTAGGCCTTTTTGTACGTTATCCCTCATTTTCTCAACTACAGATAATGCAGCTTGACATTGGAGACTTGCGGCAGTGAGGTCTTCCAATGTTATGGAATTCTGTATTTGTATCTGGTCTTGCTTAAGTTTTACCAGTGCTTTTTCAAGTTGCTCAGAGGCTTTAATAAGTGCCTCATTTTTGTGAGAAAGAACAAGACTATGTGCCATAATTGCTGTAGTATGTTTGAAGTGAATATTTGAAATTAAAATTTGGAACAGGTAACTTGGTACCTGACTCCTTTGATTGCAAGTTTCGTTGGCGACTCGTATTCGAACAAAGTCGGCCAATGCACCAATGTGGTGGAGGTTCAGTGGTTTTTGCTGTGTGGTCCCTGGATTTGTCTCAGGCAGTGACCCGATCGATATCTGAATATGGTTAGATTGTCCATAGCGGCGCACTGACCTTTGTGCTGCTCGCGTCGAACTTCCGGGTTGCGGCGACTTTTGCCTTTGAAGTGGCTGGTTGCACTTCCAAGTTGCTACGGGCTGAACTTTGGTCTGTGTGACCGTGTGTTCTGCCAACTTGTCTCTTGTAACCGACAAGAGCACAAAGTTCAAATCCTTTATATGGGTTATACGAAACAATGTGATGAAACCGAACAATGAAGTGGTACCACCAAACAATGCTGTAGTACCAAACAACCTATAATATACATACATTACTGTAATAATATCATAAGAACAATATATATACGATTGCGACATTTCGTTATGTGAACATATGTCAGTGAATGTGATGTTTCGTCTTGTGACGATAATATGGAGAAGTGATTGTAATTGATGAGATGTATCGTCGTGTGACGATACAATGAATGTTGTTATTAACGGAGCAGGACTAGGCGGCGGAGCCCGTTTGGGATTGCTATGTTCGCCCCCAAGTAGAACACCGGCGGCGGGATCCAGTCGGTGAGTATATGGTGTTAGCAGTGGGGTCGCTACTGATTATATATAGGCAGAATCCCTTAACCGCGGTGATGGGCCGAGCATAGCCTAAGTGAGTTTGCTCCGCCACGTTAGTGATATGTTCCGCTCACAATTCTATTGAGCTCATCTGACAGTTGTATGAACTCAACCTTATGATAGCAATTAGTTACATGATAACGAGACTATGTGAGGAGAGCAATAATGAGTTGGCAATGAAATGAGGTGAGGTGGTCCGGGTGAGGTCAGACGACCGTTGGGATGATGCCGTCGATCGAACTGCCTGTTGAGGTTGGTGGCAGCTGGGTGCCGCCCACGCCACTTGGACCATTTTGTCTGAGGTCCTCGAACCTCTGCGGTAGCACTTGCTCTCTAGGGTCGTGGACCATCTGCGTTACCTAAATTATCATGTAATTCCCGAAAAGATAGCAAAACTCCGTTGGGAGATTTGCTATAACTGCATTGCCTCCTATCACATTATGGGTGATAGTTTCATTAGTAGTCATAAGTATAAACACTTTGAAAGTTAATTTAACACACTTTCAACATGCCTATCAGCCCAAGATTCGAGCCGAGAGTGCGGCTAATTATAGAAATCTCATCCATGCACCTTTATAACCGTGACAGAATGACTGAAATATAAGTTTTCACTGTGTTCACAGATCCATTGAATCGACTGTTTCTAAAACCTCGTTATAAACATTCAAAATCAAATCCAAAAAAAAAGAATGGGGCGGGTGTCACTGACGAGGAGGACGAGCCTCCGAAACACCGGTGTATGGCCCTGGCGTACCAACCTCGTTTTTAGGCTAAAAATATTCTTTTTTTTTTGTATTCACAGAATTTTATGAAATTTCCAATTGAACGATCTTTTTAATTATTTTATACCCTATGATGTAAAATGATGTGCAGAACTTTTTCTGTCAGGCGGGACACGATCACACATCTCACCCTATATGAGGGAAAGAAGGGCAAATCACGCGTCGGTAGCTCAACGGATTGAGAGCACATGCCACTCGATAGGGTGAAATGAGGGTTCATATCCCGCCTGACGCGAAAAGTCTTTCCACACCACTCCACATCATTGGGTATAATATAACATCATACCAACACTAAACAGCTGTCAGTTAAAAGAATTCTGTACGGTTTTTTTTAGTGTTTTCGAATTCATTCGATGGTGTTAGAAGGAAGTCAACTAGGTTGCTGCGTTAATGAATTAGACCACCACCTTATGCTGATATATGAATTAGTGGCAGATTATTCCCCGTTATCCTACATCTTTCACGAACTTCGCGTGCGCTGTTAATGTTCTCGCTAAAATCTATTCAATTCGATAACACGACAATTTCGTTGGAAACTTTAATTCCTATTCATGACTTTGAAGTTATTGTGATTAAATGCGGGTAGCTTGAACACTTAGCAATTGAGACAAAGGAAAATCTTGTCGCCCCGAAAATCTCAACGTAGGAAGCTTTCATGAGACTTTCGACATAGTCATTTCGTCTGGCATTAGAGATGCATTAAGGAATTGTTTGTTATCGTTGACTGCCGCATTTCAAATAAATCCTATTGGAATTAGTATAACACTCCAGACGGCCAGTATTTATTCGAACGATTTATTATAGATATTCTTGTTTAATCCTTCATAACAAGTGTAACTCCACCACCGTTATAGAACGAGAAGCGAATTGGCCAGCCGCGGTACACTGTGTTTCTTTCGGAATGTCACAAGCAACACCTCTACTTCTCTCCTTTTTTGTGGTCAGTATTTAAGTTTTTCATAAACACAAAATACTCAAATATTTGAGTTGCTCGCCCCTGCAAGGATTTGTCAATGATCCAATACATTTGTCATATGACAAACATTTCATTAGTTTTGAAAGAAGACTACACAAAAGCGTTCCCCGTCATTGCCACAGTCAGTCACTGGCCTATATTAGCCAACTAAAAAGACTGACCTTTCCATAGTTCGATAGGTTTCAACTCCGTAAGTAGCAAGGTTATCGCAGTGGTCGCTAGTCCCGCGAGAGAAAATGATTTAGCAAAACAACTGCAATCCTCATGTAGCAAATTCTACACTGATCCCACAAGCACCTGCGACTGCCTGATGAGCTCGCATCGTTTTGGGATAAATGTTGAAAGTCACCAAAAACTATGGCTAATTCTTGTCGAGTTAATCAGTACGAGCACTAAATCATCTAACCATTCGACAATAGATGGATCTCCTCTGTGAAAATTAAGTCAAGATTTCTGCTATATGGAATGGTTGAAATTCTCTTAGTTAAGCAAACAAATTTCCCTCGTCACATATTGAATTTTTTTAGCTTCTTCAATTTGGTGCGTGCAGTGCACAATATGAATCACGTAAGTGCTTTCAATTTTTTCCTTTTATTGTTCACTCAGCGTATGGCGCTTGAGTATGAGGTGTTCCGCTGTACATAGGTGGTCCTTGGATCGATTTCGCGCTAGAGATTCATTACGACTTCCATCCTTAGGCGATCAGTAAATCAGTGCCAATGATGTAGGGAGAATAGCAGGAGTGACCTGACTGACATATCAAAAGACCACCGCTAATCACTGTGAGAGCCAGTTAAGTATTCAGCCACCTCAAATGATGTTCGATCCGTTCGCTATGACGTGAACGATTTTTAATGGCACTGCTGCACCCGCCGCCTAAGGGGTAAAGTGTATTGGCGTAGATCGTGATGGAAATCTGATATTTATTCAGGAAAATTCAAATCTCAAAAATACTCTGTCGTGAGCAAATAATGAAACATCATTGAAAATGTTTCTAGTAGGATAGCTTTTTTGAAAAGATCGCCCAAATGTCGATAAATTCCCTATAATTCAACGAGAAAACCCCATTTTTCCGAAAAGAGACATATTTCCAACTGCTAGATGACATTAATCTCTTATTTTATCTATTCCTTCGTAATCGTTCAGTAACCTGTAAAATGGAGATTGCAGTTTTGAACATGGTTTCTGGAAAGGCCTTAATATACGGTGTAATAGTTCAAAAGAAGATTGTTTATCTTCCGAAGTAATTAGCTCGTTGTTTGACAACAGGATTTTTTAGGCACCTATATGGTAGCATTTTGATTCTGAACAACTTTTTCGATACAGGGAGACTAGCTTTTATAGGAAAGAATTCTTCGAACGCATTTTTAGTGAAACAAAAATGTTCTATTGCTTTAAGTACTTACACTTTCATTACGAATTGTATGGAACTCAGTCAGATTCTGTGGAATGTGCACGTGCTTCCTTGCTTTATTTATCGAGTTGAACCTTTATGCTAGACTTTTGATAGTTATTCGATAGCATGAGTATCAAATATTTCAACACGCTGCTTGTTTCCGATCAATTATTAGTGAGCAGTTGCAATAAGGAGAAAAATATGTCTCACCTTTGTGGCAGTTAACTCATTGTTTGAACTTCACAGCCGCGTTTGCTGACAGTCATATAGTAAAGTTCAGACGGTGGGATCACTTCATCGTTGCAAAACATGGCATATTACCGATGAAACTACCATACAGGCAGCCATAGTCAAAAAACGTCCCATACGTCTCAACTGTCCGCTTCTCAATAGAAAAGCGACGTTGTTGAGAAATTAATATTCAATTTTGGAGAAGTGGGACCAGGACGGAGGTCAAAAAATCTTTTTGCTCACATTTAACTATAAGTACCTACGCATAGGAAGTAAAATTAAAGCGCATATCAAGTACTGAAGATTGCAACGATGAGTTATGCCTAGTGAGCTACGGCTTGGTATACGAAAATGTTTGTACTCGTAAAACGACAGGAAAAGCTTTTTTTTGTATTTCATAGAGATTCTAAATCTAGAAGTGCACAATCGATCGAAAAATTATCTAGAAATTGTTTGTGTTATAGTGAAAAGACATCACGCCTAATGTGCAGCATGATTTTTGATATACCATTTACTATATTGTAATTTACATTCAACTTAGTGAGTTTTTGGTATTGCGTTGGAATAAGGGTCATTCAGAACTCAAGGATTCATGCCATATTTGGCCGATTTTACGAGCTCAAATGATGGCGTGATTAATTATTTGACATTTTAATCTTCTGAGGGAACGTAAATTGTGTCGATGGAGTAATTTATAAAAAAATTCGATGAATTGTAAATTATGAAGTGCTTTTAGTAAGCATCATAAGATGTTCGATAAGAGCTTAGAATGTAATTTCTCATAAGTGTTTATTTCCTCCAAAAACAAGGTGTTTTCTGGAAAGTTCAATCGTTGTTTCATCTAACAAAAATCATGCTAGATTTTTTTCCTCCATATTCTATTATTGAAAAAATAAATTTTTCCATTAGCGATCAAACTCTGAATTGTCATTACAAAATTGTAGCATTGCAACGAAAGCACGCCCCTTGCAAGTCGAGTACGGCGATGTGGGAAATTAACTTCGTTCTAAAGGGGTTAAAGGAGTCAAATGCATAGTGCATCCTCCAAGAAAACAATCAGCGGTTATTCTGCCGTTCATTACAGAGACAGCTATTTATGAAATATCGCTCTATAAACCCACTTAAGACGACACAATGGCACAATGTCTGTCAGCTATGCTGGGTTTATAGAGCGCAAGTGCTACCAGAACACATGTGTCAATGGTTGGTGGCCGACAGATATGATAGAGAGATATTGAAGAACGAGAGGTAAGAAGGTGGTGGCCTAGGTGATCTTGTGGTAGTACGCGTACCCGGTATAGATGAAACGCGAGTTTAACTTCCGTCTGAGGTTGTCTTTTTGCACACCACTCAATTCTCTTATTTTGTGTCTCAGCATTCAATTGCAATGGAGCTGCTCTGCATGATTTCTTAAGAGATATTCTTCTGGTCAGTATTAACACCATCCGTGCCCGTGTTGCGCGGGGACATTACGAACGGAATGGTAGGTCTCCGTCAAACGACATGAACAAACTGGTGATTCTTCTCTCCACTTTTGAAATGAAAAATTGAAAGTTTTATGACACATTCATAGAAAAAGAAAACCGATTATGAAACAGATTGACAAAATGTTGTTACACATATAAGACGTTCCAGAGATGAGATTGCAAACTTGAATCAATCGCTGAAAGAGCTGTGCAGAATTGCCCACAATACGCATCGCTTTTAGGAGAGACAAATGCCATAAATTTCAAGTAGTAAGCTCTAGATGACGACTCTATAAACTTTCTGTTGATATGGCTTATTTGAATCTACGATGTCTACGCTTCTTATTTTCATAATCTAGTTATGGACCAGGAAAACTCCGAAGGTTACACCCAAACCCGATTTCGACCTCAATTTCGGAATGGGCACAGATTGAAAATGTCATCTGGCCACGTAGCAATATCTTCAAGAGAAACTCCGGGTTGAGTGCCTTTGCTAATGTGAGTTCATTCGACTAAAGGCCACGATAGGCAGCACTATACTCGGTCTAATTTAAGATGATCACGGCAAATGCCACTGCCGTCGGCTGCTATTATGATTTTTGTAGAGATCGTGCGTCGGCAGCATAAGTCTTCTCACAGCCGTAAGTAACACAAAGCGAAGCACTTTTGAGTAGTTCGTTAATTGGTCTAAAGTTTCGTTTCAGTGAACCTCAACGTGGAGCTCTGGTGTACACGTCAGGAAGTCCATGTACTACTGGCGGCAATTGCACACGTCCTAAGACTGGTGTTTGTGAATTTGGCCTTTGTGTGAATACCGCCAGAGTGCTTTAGTAACGGAGGAAACATTACCGCAGTGAAGCGTTATACTGTGGTGAAATAAAGCTTGTTGATTTGATATTCAACATGTTTTCGACCATTGAAATGTGATGAGAGACGTTGTGAGAGAGGCATTCTTTCTATTCATGCACTATAGCAAGAATTCATACAAAAGTACATTGTGAGGAAACAAGTGGCTGCATGTACAAAGATCGAATGTCTGCGTGGTACAGAAAGGGGTAGAACACTGTCTCCATTGTCTGCAGACGCCTCATAGATGGCACAGTATCTCCAATAATTTCTGAAAGAATCTTGAATTTCCCCACTAAAGAGCACATTTTATGTCGACA